TTAAGTGTACAGGTGAGTAGTGTTAACTACGAGTATATTCACATTATTGTGCAATAGCTTACATACTTTTGAACAGCTTAGCTTTTTTCCCATTTATTCTTTTTCTTTCCCTCCCTCCCTTCTTTTCTTCCTTCCTTCTTTTATATATAGAGGTGGAACCACTATATAGGTATTTAATTGGGCTTAGAATTTTCTTTTCACGTATACAGGGAATATATAAAATAATAAAAAACACCTTTGTAGCTATTACTCAGATTTCTCAAATTTTAGCGGTTAGCCATATTATTTTAGATCTTTATTTTTAATTATTTTGGAAATTAAACTTTATAGTTATGGTTGAAAACCCCATGCATCTCTCTGCAACCTCATTTTACTCCCTTTCTTCTTAGAGAAAACCACTGCCCTTAATTTGGTGTTTTGTGTGTGTGTGTGTGTGTGTGTGTGTGTGTGTGTGTGTGTGTGTGTGTGTGTGTGTGTGTGATACAAGTTGCTGTTCTTTTATTTTCATTGCTATATAGTTGTGAATACTATTTGTATAAATTATATGAATATGCCAGTATTTAATTTATCCGTATTCCTGTAGATGGGCATTTAACTTATTTCCAATTTTATCAGTCAGCTATTGCTTTGTAATAACCAACTGCAAAATGTCGGTGGCATAAAACAAGCATTTATTTAGCTCATGCATCTGCAGGTCACATGAGGTGTGCTCTGCTGAACTCAATTGGCTTTGCTCTGTAGGTAGGCTAGAGGTTGGCTAATCTAGGTTAGGGCAGCTCTGCATCATGGTTTTGTCAGCAGATTTGTCAGTCTGTTCTGTATGTTTATCATTTTTTTAGACCACTGGGCTATCCAGGATGTTCTTCTCATCGTGATGGCAGAGGTACGAGAAAGCAAGCCAAACTCAGAAGTCCATTTTAAGGATGCTTGTGTCCTAACTGCTAATATCCCATTGACCAAAGCAAGTCACATAGTAAAGCCCAAAGTCAAGTGCTTTTCTGTGGAGGTCAGAGGGAAGGAAGTGAATAATTGAGAATAATAATCTAACCTACAATGCCAGTTTTTTAATATTACAAACCATAGTGCAGTGAGCATTCTTGTTTTTCCAGTTTCTTGAGATGCAATGTTAGGTTGTTTATTTGAGATCTTTCTTCTTTTTTTGATGTAGATGTTTTTTGCTATAAATTTCTCTCTTAGAACTGCTTTTACTGTATCCCGTAGGTTTTGTTTGGTATGTTGTGTTTCCATTTTTGTTTGTCTCAAGAAATTTTTTAATTTCCTTTTTAATTTCTTCATTGACCCATTGGTTATTCAGTAGCATGCTGTTTAATTTCCATGTATTTGTAAAGTTTCTGAAGTTCCCCCTGTCATTCGTTTCTAATTTTATACCATTGTGATCAGAAAAGATACTTGATATGATTTTAACCTTCTTAAATTTGTTAATACTTGTTTTGTGGCCTAACATATGATCTATCCAGGAGAATGTTCATGTGCTGATGAGAAGAAAGTGTATTCTGCAGCTGTTGGATGGAATGTTCTGTAAATGTTAGGTCCATTTGATTTAGAATGCAGTTTAAATCCAATGTTTCTTGGTTTCCTTCCTATTAGTATGTTGTAGTCTACCTCTCCTTTTAGATCTATTAATATTTGCTTTATATATTTAGGTGGTCCAATGTTGGGTGCATATATGTTTACAATTGTTATATCCTCTTGCTGAATTATTATATAATGACCTTCTTTGTCTATTTTTAGCATTTTTGACTTAAAGTCTAGTTTAACTGATATAAGTACAGTAGTCCCTTCTTATCTGCAGTTTTGCTTTCCATAGTTTTAGTTACCCATGGTCAACCATAGTCCAAACATATTAAATGGAAAATTCCAGAAGTTAACAATTTATAGGTTTTAAATTGTATGCTGTTCTGAGTAGCATTATGGAATTTCTTGCTGTTCTGCTCTGTCCCAGGTGGGACATGAATCAATCCTTTGTTTAGTGTATCCCTGCTGTGTACACTTACTCACCCCTTAGTCACTTGGTACTTGTCTCAGTTATCAGATCGATGGGTCACAAGAAGAAGAGTAAGTACAGTACAATAAGATTCTGAGAAAGAGAGACCACATTTACATAACTTTTACCACAATATATGTTGTAATTGTTCTGTTTTATTATGAGTTATTGTTGTTAATCTCTTATTGTACCTAACTTATAAATTAAACTTCATCATAGAAATGTTTGTGTAGGAAAAAACATATTATATATGGGGTTTGGTAATATTCACAGTTTCAGGCATCCACTGGGAGTCTTGGAATGTTTCCCCTTTGTATAGGGAGGGACTAGTATATAGTTATTCCTGCTCTCTTTTGGTGTTCATTTACATGGAATATCTTTTTCCATCCATTCATCTTCAGTACATTTGTGTCCTTACAGATAACGTTAGTCTCTTGTAGGCAACATATAGTTGGGTCTCTCTTTTTATTCATTCAGCCACTCTATATGTTTTAATTGGAGAATTTAATCCATTTACATTTAAGGTAATTATTGATAGGTAGGGACTTACTACTGACTACAATTTTGTTAATTGTTTTCTAGTCATTTTGTAGAGACTTCTTTTCTTCCTCTCTTACTGTCTTTCTTTGTGGTTAAGTGATTTTCTCTAGTAGTATGTTTTGATTCCTTGATTTTTATTTTAAGTATTTATTTTTATTTTTATTATTTTATTTTATTTTATTTTTACTTTTGGCCACAAAACAAGTCTTACTACACTTAAAAAGACTAAGATCATAGAAAATAATAGAAAATGTGTTCTCTGACCACAATAATAGAAGGAAACTTAGAAAATTCACAGATGTTTAACAACACTCTCCTCAATAGGCAATGGGTAAAAGAAAAATCACAGAGAAATTAGAGAGTACTTTGTGAAAAAAATCAAAGTGCAAAACATCAAAATTTATAGGATGCAGGTCTCATGCAGTGCTTAGAAGAAAAGGTATACTTGTAAACACATATATTAGAAATAAGAAAAATCTCAAATGACTAATGTAAACTTCTACCTTTTAAGAAAATAGGAAAAGAAGAACAAATTAAACCAAAGCAAATATAAGTAGGAAATAACAAAGATTCAACAGTAATATATGAAATAGGGAATTAAGAAACAATGAGAAAAACAACAAAACCAGAAAGTTGATTCTTTAAAAAGATCAACAAAATATGCAAATGTTTATCTAGACTGACCAAGCAAAAGAGAGAAGACTGAAATTACCAAAATCAGAAATAAAGCGGGGGCATTATTACATTGTCATTATGGTTTTTTTGTGGTGTTAAAATTTAGTTTCTTTTTCTTGCCCATTTGCATTTTTGTCCTACTAGTGGGTTTTGTTCTTTTGTATTTGTGGTAGTGATTATCATTTTTCAGATTCCAGATGCAGGACTTCCTTGAGGATTTCTTGTGGTGAACTCCCACAGTTTTTGTTTGTCTGAAAAATACACTATTTTTCCCTCATTTTTGAAGGATAGCCTTGCTGGGTCCTACAATTCAATCATCTCTTTAAAGCTCCACCTTTCAATTACCATAAGAGAATTTCCCACCCTCTTAACAGTCACAGTGGGGGCTAACTTTCTAATATATAAAGCTTGGGGGACACAAACTTCAGTGAGTTTTGGAGGGATATAATTCAATTCACTACAACCGCCATACTGTTTCCATAATGGCTGTAGTAGTTTACATTCCCACTGACAGTGTGCAAGTGTTCCCTTTTCTCTACATACTCACCAATACTTGTTTTCTTTTATCTTTTTTATAATAGCCATTTTAACCAGGGTGAGGTGGTATCTCATTGTTGTTTTGATTTGCATTTCCCTGATGATTAGTGATGTTGAGCATTTTTTCATATGCCTGTCGACCATTTGTATGTCTGCTTTTGAGAAGTGTCTATTAAGATCCTTTGTCCACTTTTCAATTGGATTATTTGGGGGGGTTTTGTTTGTTTTGTTTCATTTGTTTTGTTTTTTTTAGTTAAGTTCCTTATATATTCTTGATATTAACCCCTTGTCAGATGTGTCATTTGCAAATATCTTAAATCTGTAAAGAAGTTGCTGAGGTAAACAGCATAAGTGAGATAAGACCAGATCTAAGGAGGAAATTCTACGAAGTAGGAATATCTTAGTGATAAGCAGAATGATTGTCAAAGGAGTTGGACACAAATATANTAAAACCAAGTAAGTTTAAAACAAATCTCCTTTTAAATGTTCACTCTGAGGCTTAAACTGATACTATTATCACAGTATTTCTGTACTTTTGGTGTGGATTCAGGAAAAGAGACAACTGTCATAACTAAAAGATTGTTAGACAAAATCAGAAAACAGTCATTTAACCCTTCTGAGCCTCAGCTTTCTCATTAATAAGGGGAAGGTAGTGTTTACATCACATCACAAGCATTAAATGACTGTGAAAGTGCTTTGAAGAAAAATCTAAGAATCATAGGAAACATCTTAGGGAAAAGAACATAGCATCTGGTATTTCTAAGCTGGAACCAAAGGGTTTGGGTGGAGAAATGAAAGGGGAACTGTGTCATATGGAAGTCACCTGAGTATAGTTGTCCAACTACACATGCTGTTTTTTTCTCCTTTCATCCTCCATTCTCTCCCTACTGCCAATAATTGGGCCTATTAGAATCTCTAGAGTAGTATGTGAAGATAGCTTGAATTATTTCATCGATCCACATTCCCCACATTCCACTTCCACCCATGTTAAGTAAGAACTGATCTAATCCAACCATCTACTTATTTGGCAGGTATAGAAATCAGAATATAACAAGGTGAATAATCATTTTTTTCAACTTAAAATTATGAAATTTTTGTCAGTATTTGCTTATAAATTACAGAAATTCTCAATAAGTGCCAGGCAGTCCTTACATGCCCTCCCTCTTTTGCAAATGCATGTGGTCAAATATTTTCAAACTGTAATGAAGAGCATAAAGTGAAAAACAAAAATCTGTTCCCATCTGGCTATTTAGCTCAGTTGGTTAGAGCACGGTGCTGAAAACACCAAGGTCTCAGGTTCCATTCCTGAACTGGCCACCTGCCTAAAAAAAAATAAATGTGTTCCATCTTCTCCATCCCCCCAATTCGTGTCACAGAAGGGACCACTTTTAAAATTTTAAGTTAAGTTTTAGGTTTCTCTGGGTATTACTCTCATAACTTAAAATCTGTGCTATCCATTACAGTAGCCACTAGTCGCATGTGGCTATTGAGCACTTCAAATGTGGCAAATCTGTACTGAGATGTACCATAACTGTAAAATACACACCAGATTTTGAAAATTTAGTACAAAAAAATGTGAAACATCTTATTAATATTTTCTCTTTATTACTACTTGAAATGATGTTCTCTTGGATATATTCAGTGAAATAAAACATTATTAAAATGAATTTCACGTCTCTATACCTTTTTATAAGTGGTGCTTAGAAAATTTTAAAGTACACATGTGATTTGTATTTTTGATTAGCATTTGTTACTCACATTCTGTTTCTGTTGGACAGTGCTGTTCCAGTTAGTAAGCATATTTTTCCATTAGGTGATGTATTATGAGACTTCTTGTTTTAGTGTGAATATCATTCTTTTGTAAGGAACCAGGAATTTTTTTTTCTGGAAACTGTTACCGGACTCAGGTCCAGGCTGCCCGCCCTTTTGAAAAGGAAAGAAAAAAAACTCAGAAGTCAAATGGTTGGTGTCAGAAAGCAGATGTATTCAGCTTAAGGAGATGGTAGGCTATCCTATCTCAAAGATTTACATTTACTGAGGGGTTTTTAAAGGAAAGGTTGAGGGAATGGAATGTGGGAGGTGAAAAGCAGGAGAGCAGGAGATGTGAGTTACGAGGGGTCCGTGTCTGTGAGTCAGGTGCAAGGTCTTGCCAAGGTCTCATCTGGTTTCTAAATTCTAATTTCTAATTCTCCTTTATATTTTCTATTTTCCATCCTGCTGCCTTTTTGGCAGTAGTCTGGGAGATTACCTTATCCTCATCTTTTGATGGTATATTTAAAAATGGGTAGAAATAGGGCAATCAGAGTTTTAATAGTCTAGAACTGTTTTTTGTCCTCTATTATTTTATCATAGAAGCCTATTCTGCCTTTATGACTGATACCTTCTTGAATATCTGTGAGGTTTCAAGTTGGAATTGTTTTTAAAAGTGTTTTCTGTTTTCTGAATTGTCGGCTGGGTCATAGATCCCTCACACAGATCTTGCGCAGATTGCGAGCTAGGTAGCTGGAAAAAAATTCTGGGAGCCA